GAGTATGGTTTTACGCCGCTTTTAGCAATATTCCATCAATATCAGGGCGGGGGACACCAGAAATGGGCTTCACACATTGTATCCATGCGGGAATTCAAACCCGGGTCTTCGGCGTGACGAGCGAACGCTTTAACCACTAGGCTATCCCACCGCTCCTTGTCTTCAGTAACCCATGCTTGTCGTAAAAGACGACTAACTGGATCAGGTGGTCAGGCTTGCGGACTTGGTTGACACATGTCATCGTATCCCGATTGCGTAGAGCGATGCTCATGATGTTCATCACTGGATTGTTTGGTCCAGACTCGATTATTTACAGACCGCTGCCATATAGCTGGAATATTGCTTCAAGGGTAGACGAATCGTAAGGGACCACAACAAGTGGCCGTCGATCATGGAGACTAGATGCGTGTATAGGTTGTCTTGTCATCCAACCCGTAACTCGCATTCCAGTAGCCTGATGAAAGTTTGTAGCAATTTGATTCGTCGTCTGAGCTCGACTTTGTAGAGTTTGGTTTGGGATAAATCGAACAATCGTCGTTGGTCTGGGACGTCCTGGAACGGGGTCGATCGTCACTATTTTGGATTTGTTGCTGTATCTTTGTATGGCATCGTATCCCAATGGCGTAGAACGATGCTCATGAATTTGCTCATGATTGTCTGGTCCAGACTCGATGACTTACAGACCACCGTCATATAGCGCGCGGGATATGCTGAGCGCGGCGTTTAAACGAAAAACCCAAACAAACCAGTTCTGGCTGTTTGTTTGTATATTTGTTTCTCCTATACTACTACCTTACTACCTCAATACCACGTTCACCATTTCGAAAATTATACGGGAAAACAAGTAGCGTTTTTCTAAGACACAAGGGGCGGTGGGGTAGCCTAATGGTTAAAACGTCAGCTCGTCATGCCGAAGACTCGGGTTCGATTCCCCACGTGGGTACAATATGTGGAGCCCATTTCTGGTGTCCCCCGCCGAGATATTGCTGGAACAGTGCTAAAAGCGGCGTAAAACCATACTCTCTCACAGTACACTCACTCACTCTAAGACTCGAATACTTCAAATACTACATCATAATTGCCACTCGTAAAGATCCGGGTTCGGTATTCAGCAACCCATACTTGTCGTAAGAGGCGACTAACGGAATCATTGATATATTAACAGTGGTAATTTAATGACATATCTTGTCACAATCTGAGGCGTTCATAAAATCTCTACTACAGGGCCAAACTTTAGTCGAGGTTTGCCGTTATCCCATTCACAAATAGGTACCGTAAGTTTGTAAACAGGAATACTCAGATCGTGATGTTTACAGCATAATGTAACTTGATAATGACCCAGGAATAGACACAGGATCATATTATTCCGCTTACTAAAGTACATTAGATTCACCAATCGCTCACGGGTTTTCTTATATTTCATACTAATAGTTAGACTAACACTTACTCTCTGAATATAATATAATTTTGATAGAAGCAAACAATTCCTTTTGAACTGTAAAGAAACCCCAGTAAGAAGGAAGATTCGGAGCTAGAGAAAACCTAGACTTGCTTCATTTAGGGTTTTAATGTTGCAGAAAGGAGTGAGACGGGAGGGAAAATTCGGTTCAGGCACTGTGAGACTAATAAATACAACAGTATATGTCATTTAATATTATCGGCACTTTTAGATCAATTTAGATTGGTATGTCTCCATCAATTGGATTCTGTTAGATTTCATTAGAGACCACATAATAATGATTACATGTATGTTGTCTCTGATTTCATGTGACAATGGAGATGAATTTTCCCAAAGTTTTACCCTTTTCATTTGAAGGAGCCCCTGTAAACTCTTATTTCTCGCTGCTTGTAGCGGTAACGAGCACTGAGAGCTCTTATTTGAATGAAATTGTATTTGACACAGTCTGTATCAGAGCAGACAATGTTCAGATAAAACGAACTTCCTAACTTAACACAAAATAGTATCTCAGAGTAACATCCCTTTAGTTACTCGCTATCGTAAGAGTCCTAAAAGTAGGTCAGTAATGCCAAAATCTGGTCAGAGATATTTACACGGAATATGATTTCTATACGATGTATATATTATGTTCGACATTAATGAAACGGAAATATAAAAGTGCTTGGCGAAATGCATTTTGTTTATAGATAAGAGAATTAAAACATATTAAATCAATTGTGCAATTAACGCAGAAAAGAAGCTGCAAACATATCAATGTTACAATTTGGGTAACACTCCTAAAACAACGTTGTTTCACGCCACCCATTGCATCATAGCGTGCCACTGTACATCGGGAACTTAAAACGTGGACTGCTGAGAGTTTTGTGACGGAGAGAAATATTCGTTTTTTAAACAATACCGGTATTAGTCATTAACTTAAGCTGCTGTTAGGGATAAGACATATAGAAGATGTAGTATTTTAAAATACTCGCTGTATAGAATTATCAGAAGTCGTTATCTGCCTGACCGGACTGTCCTGAACACTAATGTTTCCTGTAATTCTCTATGTTCCAGTGATCTTACTTTACACTACGTACACATTTTCAATACATCCTTCATAAAACAATCCGCATAGACTAACTTTGAAAAAAAGTACTACGTTCAGTTAAATATCCAATTTCATTAACCTTGATTGTTACCTGGATGAAACGGCACGGTGATAGACATAATTACAATACTGTCGTGTCAACGAATTTTGTTTGTTTGTTGTTTAACGCCTCAGTCAGCAATATTCCAGCTATATGGCGGCGGTCTGTAAATAATCCAGTCTGGACCAGACAATCCAGTGATCAACATCTTGAACATCAATCTACACAATTGGGAACAGATGACATGTGTCAACCAAACCAGCGAGCCTGACCATCCGATCCCGTTTGTCGCCTCTTATGACAAGCATGGGCTACTGAAGACCAATTCTAACCCGGATCTTCACGGGTCCAATGACATTGTGTAATTCAAATTGTCCTGTTTGCTCTCGTTTCAAGGAAATCATTTTGATGAGGAAACAGTGACCGCGGATGTTCCCGATGATAATGAAGGCCTTTTTATCATATTGTTTTTCCCAATTCCAATCGAAAACATGTTTTGAGTTTGGCACATCAAACTACTCTGGTAGGTCATTTCGGTATGAACAAAGCTTGTAACAAAAATAACTTATATCTTTTGGTCAAGGGGCGGTGGGGTAGCCCAGTGGTTAAAGCGTTCGCTCTTCACGCCGAAGGCCTGGGTTCGATTCCCCTCATAGATTCAACATGTGAAGTCCATTTCTGATGTCCCCCACCGTGATATTGCTGAAATAGTGCTACAAAAAAAACAACTCACTCACTTTTGGCTTGATTTGCTGCATGGCATGACTGAAGTTAGCAAAATCTGCCGTGTGTGTCAAATGGTTGGCAAACCTAATCAGAATATACCAGCCGTACCATTTAAACCCATTGTATCATTTGAAGAGCCTTTCATCAGCGTCGTCATCGATTGAGTTTGTTCTTTACCTACATCTAAGTCAGGCAACAACTATATACTACTACTATGTGTTCTTCCACAAGGTTTCCGGAGGCTATTCCTTTACGGAATGTTACAGCTCAGGTCATTTTCAAGGCTTTGGTGAAGTTGTTCACTATGTTTGGTTTGCATAAGACTAGATCAGGACACCCGTTTAGCGTCAGTTCTGTTCTAATAGGCTATATGCATCAATTACTCATAACTCAGGTTAAATCTATTACATATCATCCTGAATTTCAGGAAGGTCTCTAGACTAACGTTTAGTCTCTGAATATATATAATTTTGATAGTAACAAACAAGCCCATTTAAATTGAAAAGGAGCCCTAGGGAGACCAGAGATTCAGAACCTGAGGACATCTAGACTTGCTTTATTGAGGGCTTTAGCAATGCAGATAGGGCTTGGCAGTAGGGAAAATAATGTGGTTCAAGGACTGGGAGACAGACTAGGAGGTCCTGAGAGACTCTTAAGAATATAATAAGAACTTACTGGTTTTGAGACGGAGAAGGATAAGGGCGCACATTCATTGTTTTACTGTGAGAGAGTCAGTTCAGGAGTCCTTAGGTTTCAGTCCGTCAGACCTTGTCTTTGGTCATACAGTTCGCTGACCTTTACAGCTCTTGAAGGCAAATGACTTAATGATAGGTCTGAAATGAGTTGAGGTGAGTAGATACAGGAATTTCACGATGCGATACGTATCCCGATATCTTGAAACGATACGATTAGAATCGATGCATATCACGATATGCTATCTTTAGTTATTTCCTTTAAAAAAAGTATATTTTTATAGCAAGTAACAGTGTAAATTTTGACATAATCGTCAATTTCTAGTGAAAAGTAATAATTCTAACGTCAACGATACATATCACGATACGAAAAAACATCGATATATATATCGTCAGATAAAGTATCACGATTATCGATACTATGATATATCGTCACAGCTCTAGAAATGAGTGTGTTGGCTTATGTTTCATTTCGGATTAGGCTGAGAGGAGGTGGGCTTAAATGAATGAATGTTAAATGAATTTCTTGTGTATATTTTTGAATACAATTGTTTATTAAGTCACATTTCTTTGTTTCTCACTTTGTTCTTTTACGGACTTTAACGGCAACATATTGTTTCAGCTTGGGAACCAATCTTCTAAATGCCTGTTGAGACGACGCCTGAAACTTTATATTAACTGCCTGAAAATATCGATCGAATATATAACGTACCGGGATAAATAAAATGCAAAGAGAAAAGCATGAAAGGCGATTGCCCCAGGCACAAAAATGTGATTTTACTGCTCTAATTAACAGCAGATCGCCGGTAGGCGACTTACTTTCAACACTGTCGGTGGACAATTTATTCTAGACCAATTACAAATGTCGTGAGTTGTATAACATGACCGCTTCTCGAGACAGATCGAAATACCGGTTTTGTGAGTACGAGGTGAGACGATGTTTCGTTTCGCTGACCCCGCCAGTCCTGCATTTCGAGGTTACTGTTATTGATTCACCACAAAGCGCTCTTAGCTTCAGTTTACACGGTAGCTATGGATAGTCATGTCGGCCGCGGAGCGGCGATCGCCAAAGAAATCATAACAGTTTTACTGTTAATTTTTTAGCACGACGTTTGAGAGGGAAAACTATGAATGGCGCGCAACACTGCGGATCTGTTAACCAAAACCAACAGTAAACTCGAGTGCTTTCTGAAGAGAGCCATTTCCGAGGAAACGTATGAGCGAATTCGTGCCTACGAGTCCTGTATCGTTGTTTCGGAACGCGAAAACAAGGCGTTCAAATATATTGTTCTTGGAGACGAGTGGATATACCTGACAGAGAACCCGCCGAAAACCGTCCAGGAAACAGTGCCTCTGAAAGATATTGTCTCGGTGGAACTGGTAAGACATAGCTGAACATGTTTTTTTAGGACAAATATACCCGACTATATTTTATTATCTTGTTTACGTATTGTTAGGCTGGACCTAGTCAATGTCGGCATGTTGAAGCCAGACACTTGCAGTCAATGGCATTGTTTTTTTGCAAACATGTACTGGTTATTAATTTTGCAACGGACAAAGGGCGTTAGGACGTTGTCACCATTTTATCAGATTTTGTTGAGGCATTATTATCTGATACAAGTTATACAACTTATAGGTAAGTTTGAAGAGCATCTTTGGATGACAATCACACTGTCTCAGAAGATAAAAGGCTTGTCATCACAGGTGTGGAAATAACTTTAAAATTGCTAGTGTACTCCGGTACAGTGGCACATGTAAAATCACTTGCCCTGATAATTTTTCCACTATACCAGCCGTTTTCTTGTTGATTTTTTAAATAAACAACATAATTAATATTGGAAAGTCAACTGGACACTGGCACAGTGTGATATACAAATTTGCTTGCCCGGCAGAAAAAAACACTGGAGTCGGGCAATGGGATATTTCCACCCCTGCATCATCTGTAGCTGTTATGATAAGTGGTGCACTCAAACTTGGTGTCACACCAAGATTTTCTCATTTTCATATTCTGATATTAAACAAATGTCGTCAATGTCCTAAACAAAATCATGAATTGCTAAACTTTACTAAGGAATTTGTTATTCAAGCAAAATCTTTAGTTTGACAGCTCACCACCATTATCAAGCTGATCCTGGTTCTGAAACCCACATCGGTAGAGAGCCAGTACCATAATCCTACATAATCCTTCGGGAGTGAGTAGTCAAGTGGTCAAACTTAAAGCTTTTGTTTGTCATGTGAAAGACCCGGATTCGTTTCCTACGTGGGTGCAGTGAAGCCTGCTTCTGAAGTTCAGTACAGCTACATTTATTAGCAGAATGGTGCAAAGAGTGATGTAAAACCATACTCACAATGTACCATAGTACACTAACAAATGTGTTAATAATTGTCAAAGTTCCCGGGTCTTCACAGATTCTTACAGTTTGCATATCGTTTTTTCGATCCATACCTCAATGAACAGAAGCCTATACACTGTCAATCCTTATCAAGCTTATTTTGACAACAGAACAAATATGGTGTCTACAATGGTTTCATCAAAAACAGTTCTTTAAATTAAAGCAGACAATGGGGAACATTCCTGGAGTTGCGCCCCCTTGCCCGCTTGGAGCGCTGCGGTAGTTACGGTCCAACAGTAGCTGTCACTCTGATACTGACATATAGGCCTGCCTATCGGCCAAGCCTAAACTTAAATCGACATTAAACCTACTTTTTACTCTGTGGTTCTTATATTACGAATTACGGAAGCTGAAAGTTGCCCTGACCGAAGACTGTTGTCAAAGCACGAAGAACTAGCGTTTCTGGACGAAAAATAATGCTAATAGAACAGTACTGCAGTTTTTGTAATTTTGCCGTTTTTATTACAATACTTACTCCTAATATCATGAGTTCTTTTCAATTTGCCCATACTAACCAAACTTACAAAATACACGAAATTTGTTACCCCGAACCGGGAAACAAACGTAAAGATTTTCCCAGCCATATGGTTCTAGCGCTCGGGGCAACACACCACTCGTTGATGAAGTCACGATATCTATAAATACGGGCACTAACCATGCAACTTTCTCTTTTCAATTTTGGCTGATGATCAGTATCCTAGCGATATTGCTCTATTTGTCTAAGACTTAAAATGTCATGTACTCTGGGAAATGTTTGGGTATGGACTTGGGGGTGCCGACACTCTTCGTAACCTTGGCAGTGCAAGTTGGACACTGGAGCAGTGGACCCAGTTGAAGAGGCCCCAGAAGGCTGCGTTGAGCTTCGTTCAACGACTTTCTGAGCGCCGTCTCTCCCGATAAAACCCGAACAGACGTCGGTCCTTCTCTGGCGGGACCGGGTGTAGGGGCCCCCAGGGCCACCTCCCGGGGTTGGATTGTCCCAACAGGACACCTCACCCTTGGGGTTGAGGGCGCCCGAGTTCTGGGTCTTGGTTGGGCCTTCTTGTCAACCGCTCAGATAAAACCCAACGTCCCTACGGGACCAGGTGGATTGTCCCAGGACACCGAGCCTTCTGTCTTATGGGCCTTCTGTCGGCGGCCAGGTCCCGGCCAGCCCTGCGGTGGGTGCCGGCCAGGACATGGCTGCCCCGGATCCCGGCCAGGACACTCCTGCTCCTGCAGAGATGTGGCAGGCCATCCAGAGGCAAAGTTTGCTTCTGGAGCAGGTTCTGTCCTCTCTGCGCGGTCCCCCTACTCAAGGGGGACAGCAGTATGTGTCTAGTGGGGAAGTGACCACCGGACGCTTCCCCCAGGCCCTTTCAGTACCAAGGGACCCACCCCCGACCTTGGGTTGGGTTGTTAGACGAGACCGTGCAGGCCTCGACAGTCCCAGTAGGTTCACCCCAAGGGGACGGGCAGCGTCCCATGGACGTGGACTCAGACCCGGATGACTCCTCGTCCGTGGCTTCGAGCATCCTGTACGAGGAGGAGTCTCACCCTAGGGTGGGACCCTCCTCTACCGTCCAGGGTAGAGGAGGATCCGCCGGTCGAGGAGTAACCTGACTGTCCCTAGGGGTCCATCCACCTCCTCGGAGGTGTGTGATATGTGTAGATTATGTTTCTTGGTTTGTCGGTGCCATGCATGGGTTTCACTAATCTGGTAGAAGTCGAAAACCTGTCCAGAATCAATTCCTCCTGTCATAGCATGAGGGCAAAGCTTCACGAATTGGAGGAACGTTATTAAAGCAACCACTATACAAAAGAACAATTAATTCCGAGGCTTATTACCTGTATCCCTGACATATGTAGCTGATACCAGTTGTACATCCTTACTGTTTGGCTTACAGCTAATAATTACAAAATTGCTGAGGCAGCATTAACCAATATTCACTCAGTCAGTCACAAGCTCACTCCCTTTGAATTGGACAATGGCTGTCAACTGCCTTAAATGAGCTGTTCAACCATGTCACTTCTGGCTATGACTGTTGGTCATATTTATGACTTAATCTGTTTTAGATGGCATTGCAATTACATCCATGGCCTAGAGACAGGGTTAACTTTTACATAGCTCTTTGAAACTGGGAGTCATGGGGACTCAGGGCATATGTATTCCGAGAGTCCATTTCCAAAATTGGGAGTCCATCAATTTGCATGAAATCAGTGATCATGGATGCTTCCCATTTGATAATGACTATGTCATATATGTGTTACTTTCGATGTCATTAGAATAGTGATTGTAAACAGAATGTTTATATTTTAATATGCAGAGCTAGAGATAACTTTTTGGGGTCATTGAGTTATGTACTCCCTTGTCTTCATCTCAATTGGGTATCCTAATTTTCCTTTGAGAAACGAAATAATTGTACTCACCTCACTCAAACTCAATTGGGTATTTTGCCATTTTCCATTAATTTAAAAAAATATAATAACATTTAAATGTTAGTGTTTTGATTTACATTTGATCTGTCATATGAGAAACGATTAGAAAGACTGCAAGTTGTCAAGTTCATGTCCTGAAAAGGAACCTCTCAATATACTTCAGTTATTTTATCTATCCACTGGTATGCAAGCTACGATTTAACATTTTTGTGTGTACGCATGTAAGATCACATTTATTGAATATTTACATAACTTCAAGTGTACTTATATGCAATAGACTTAACAGGAATTGAGTTTTCACATAAATATTTGTGTAATTTACGCAGATACGCAGCTTATCTGTACCTCTGAATATGGGATAAAATTACAAACTCAGAAAATTCTTTCCTAGAAAAAAATTATATTACGTCCAAAAGGACTCACTGGATTTTAGTTTAGGGGTACTTCATCAAATTTCTGCTTCCAAAACGCGTCCCGTAAAACCCTGCCTAGAGACAAGAATTTTTGGGATTTCCCCCTCGGCCGAGCTAGGGGTAGTGTAGGTGCTCCAGGGCTCCACGAAGTGATTCTTGTATTTGTCTACATGAAAAAGCAATCCTGTATTAAGGCAAACCATCAAATCTGTATTGTCACTTGCTACTGAGGGCCTATGAAGGTTTAGAATTGGTCTCTAGCAACCCATGCTTGTCGTAAGAGGCGACAAACAGGATTGGGTGGTCAGGCTCATTGACTTGTTTGACACACGTCACCGTATCCCAAATGCCAGTTGTGCAGATTGATAGTCATGATATCAAAGCATATTGTTTTTAGCTTTTGCATTGTCTTAACAAATATCTCTGAAATGCAAGTGTTTCACTTTTTCTGTTTAAATATCTCCACAGTTTGTCTTACTGGCAACTGTTGGAATTGGACACCATTGCTTCATTAACTAGTCATTTGTTTTAATGTTCTTTTAACAAGGACTGATTTAAATTCACTTTCAACTGTTGCCAGCGGGGAAGTGTTTTTCATGTGTGTCAATTAGTTCAGAAATGTCTTTCATTATCACTGTTATTAGTTTCCAAGTTACTACATTCAGTAGAACGGTGCAAATCACCATGATCATGATGATATTTTCAAGTGAAGAGGCTTTGTCTACAGGTGTCAAATGGTTGTGAACTTCACGCACTGCACACAGTAAAATTATTTCTCAAAACCAAATCCTCGTTCTTGTAAATGTTCATTGACACATACGGCTAAAGCCCTCGGGGTGTTTCCTTCACTTGAGGTTTTTCTTATACACAGAAGACCTCAGAGGCGTTTTTTCTCCTTCACTTAAAAACCTATTATCAGAAACCAGAAGAAAGATTTTGCATAGTATTTAAGTACCAGTATCAGATTGTAATGCAGGGTGCCTTATCGCTTACCCTGTCATAAGTCTATGTTAAAGTATGGGAAGTGTGATCACCCTAGTGCTAAGGTTGGTGTCCTATACATGAAACAGGTGTGTTTGGGTGTTGAACTGTAAGTATTACAGTACTATAAATATCAAGGCTTAGAGAATAAGGCCTCATTTATAGCATGCATAAT